ACCTACATTATGTTTCCTATATTACCTATTACAGCATTTGGAATTTGATTTGCCTTTAAATGCTGCTCGAACACATGAAACCGATAGCAGAGATTACGAGACGCAATTAAAAAATAATACTGTGCTTGCTCTCGTCTTCGAAGCGGAAAGTCCGGGTTCGAGCCTCGGTTCGGACATGGATTTTTTTTCGCCCCCTCCTGCCCACCCAGCAGTGATGAGTACCTGACTTCGAGTTGGGGAAGTAAAGGTGGCGTGGAAAGGAACTGGCTACCCTACCACAATATGCCGAAGGCCCAGGAAGTTGTCTCACTAACAAAGCAATCCCAAATGTCCGGATCAGATGCGTGAACAACTTTACTTTTTGTTTTACTGTGCTAAGTACACCTATAGTACATTCAATAATAGATTCCTTGTGCAATTTATTGCCAAATTCTTCAGCTATCCAACGTAAACTCTCCAGCTTTTGCGCAATGACTTGTAGGAATTTGTCCTATTAAATCAACGTTTTTGTAAACACCAGCTGATAACTGTACTTTAGAAAATTCCTTAACAAACGCAAATTAAAAATTGCAGTGGGTTGCTTCAGCAGTATTTTAAAAAGTTTATTGCTTGTACAACATCTTATTTAAAAGCAAATCTGTCTTTTTTTCTAATCACAGCATTCTGCTTATTTAATGTACGCTTTGAGAACCCTTAGTGTAAAAACGTGCTTACTATAAAAAAAATTTCTTGTAATAAGTTTTGTCACTAAAAGGTGTCTTTGATGGGCTATGACATAGATCATATGTGTATGGGAAAGCGGGAAATGCTGAAAACAATAATAAAACTACTACTACTACTACAACTACTACTACTATTATTATTATTATTATTATTATTATTATTATTATTATTATTATTATTATTATTATTATTACAATATTGTTTCTGTTACTATTACTTTAAACCAACAACAACAACTACTACTATTACTACAACATGTACTACATATATACTACTACTGCTACTACTATTACTATCACAACTGCTGCTGCTGCTGCTACTACTAGTGCGGTCAAAAATTCGTGACGCAACTTATTGTCAAATATTTCCTAAACTGTCGAACATAGACTCTCCAGCTTTTGCACAATATTCTTATAAACATCTGTTAGTTGTATTCTAGAAAATTCCTAAATGAATATTATTTTTTAAAACCCAAGTGGGTGGTTTTTACAGATTTTGAAATGTTTACAGCTGGGGCAATATCGCTTTTAAAAGCAAGTCCGTATTTTTCATTTCTAAACGCGACACTATGCTCATTGAATACGGTGCATGTTTTGAGAAGTGCAAAAAATTAATGTGTTCACTTTAAATTCATTTTTTTGTAACACGTTTTGCCACTAAAAGGTGTCATTGGTGAGCTGTGACGTAGGCCAAATGCGTATGCAAAATGTGTTAGAGAAGCGGGAAGTGTAGTGAACAATCCCATCTTCCGTGTGACGAAAATTTATAATGTTTTATATAAATAAATGTAGAAAAGTTTTTAAAATCTAGATTTAGTTATTCTTTCTAAAATATGGCAAGGTTAAGACAAATTGATACAAACTGCTATGCAAAGTATAGGAGACATTGATTCTCCCGTTAAAGAGATATCTGATGATAAGTTGCGCCATGAATTTTTGACCGCACTATAGAATTATTCAGAGTGAAGGCACTGTCAATTTTGATGAAGCGGAGATTGAAATAAAAACAAAGATCGCTTACCTCCAGTTCTTTTCCCTTTTCTGTTTTATTCTATGAGCAATAATGTGCACGCACTCTTGTTGTTGGTTTTAGTCTATATACTCTTCTCTATTTTCAATGTCTACTCCTCTCAGTTTCCATTTTCTTGGTTTCCATTTCATTCTCTTCTCTGGACTTGATATTAAACCCCATATTTTGATCTCAGCACAAATCACCCGATAGCTGCTTCGACTAATTATCTTAATAACAAGTTGCAAACTACATGGGAATTCCTTTTTGAGTCAAAGAAGTATCATACCAATTAAAAAACTCGATTTTGCTTTTCTGTTTACTTTCTTATGATTAGCTCTTTGATATCTTCAGGGTGTTATCTTACACGTTTATTTCTTTGTCAGTGGTGGTTTTTTAACCTTTCGGAAAAAGAGGGGAGAAGAGGGAAATCAGAGCTTCAGATCCTAGGAATATAAATACATTAGCACATGATGCCTAGAATAAACTTCTTCGGGAACTTTTGAAGTTCAATGACGACATACTGTTTAATCAATGTTTCTATTTTAATTGCAAAACTAAACAAGAAAAACAAAAAGAAATAACATCTTCATAGATAATGACACAGTCTCATAAAGCTATAAGTTTCCTGGAGTGGTACCTCTTCCGTTAAAAGTAGGCTATATTTGCTACCTACATCCCACTTTCGAAATCCCCAACATACCTACCGCTGTACTGCCTACCTACTTAGGTCCTCTCTTCACTTGTCTTGGCCTACTAGCCTAGAATAGGCTAATACTAACAAGGTCACCTAAACAGAAAATGTGCCCACCATTTCGGAATTTCACGGTGACATTTAAGATTATTTCCCTTTTAAGGAACGAGATAGCAGGTGTCCACATCCCTCATGACTCATCATAGCAGAGGAAGATAAGACTAACACTAATATTAACCCCCCCTTCCCCCTTTCAACTAACAGGAGCATGTCGTCTTAATAATTATTTACATAAACACCATTCCACACCACCACTTATCACCACCACCACCGCCATTTCTAAAA